GCTCTTTTGAATGGAATCGAATTCCATTGGCTATACACCCAGTGTAAGATCGAACACAGTCGTTCGGACCAATTGCTAGGGCATATAATGCATCAGAAATCCCTTTTTCGCGATACAATACTTGAGCCTAAGTCAAAAAGTTTAATTTATAGTTAAAATAATGGAGAGAATAGAGTTGTCATTCTAAAAAGTACCAACTTACCTTTTTTTTAAACCAAGTAGGAAATTCTAATTGTTGTCTCCTGTGCAAATCAGCATGACTGTTTGATTGGAGAAGACTCATATGCTCCCTAAACATGAAACATATCTTAATTTCATCGTAATGTTAAAATCTAGTATTAGTGTTGTACTAGAATAGATACATACTCAAGGTAAGGTGCCACTTCATCACAGTTGTTTAGTATATACCAATGTGCTTTTTTTAAACCATCAGAAGTCAACCGTTTAAATTGGCTACCACCCAATAGTCGTACACGTCCAGAAAAAACCGATAGCTCATTATTGTTCTCCACATCCTCGACGTTATCATAATTACGCTCAATCCTATTGAATCTTGTTTCAATCCCATGTAAATACATAGAACAAAAAGTTAAAGATTCATTTATGATGTAAGCTTCTGCAATTGAACCTTTAGGTCGAGCTTTGTTTCTAACATATTGCTTCAAATATCGCAGACTCCTAATACAAAAATTGTGAAGAATAACTCAGGACTTAAAATCAATCACAGGAAAAAAAAGGGAACGAACAAAGAATGATACATGTTCATACCTTTCAATCGGGTACATCCAACTATAACCCACTGGACCAATGATGGTTGCTTCCCACGACAAATGAACAGCTAAGTGAACCATAACGTCAAAGAATGCTGGTGGAAAGATCTTTTCCAACTTACACAGGATGAACACTATGTCAGTCTGCATTCTTTCTAATTCTGATATGCGCAGAGTTTTTGCACATAAATCATGAAAGAAGTTTGACAATTCTGATATAGTTGTAGCAATGTCCTTGGGTATATATGGCCGAATACCAATTGGAAGAAGTCTTTGTAATAAAACGTGACAATCATGACTTTTCAGACCGGTGATTCTGCCCTCGTTCGCATTCACACACTGTGATATATTTGAAGCAAAACCATCTGGAAACTTTACAGATTTTAAAAATGTACAGAAGCTAACTTTTTCACTCGTAGTTAATGTGAACGATGCATGAGGCTTCACACGCCTGCCTCCAATTTCTTGTATATGAAGTTCTTTTCTAATTTTCAAGTTTACTAAATCCTCACGAGCTTTAATGGTATCTTTAGTCTTCCCGTCAATATTCAGTATAATACCAACCAAATTATCACAAATGTTTTTCTCAATATGCATCACATCAAGTTTATGATGTAACATAAGATTTTTCCAATATGGAAGATCAAAGAAGATACTTCTTTTACTCCAATTGTGCTTGTTAGCTAATCGCTTACGTTTGTTATCAGATACTATTGTAGGATGCTTGCTCAACGTAGGGAAACTCGATGAATTCAATTGATTTATAATATCTTGTCCAGTTAACATCTTCGGGGCTAATCTAAATTCTTGTTTCCCATCGTGTTGCTTACTCCTACGCCATGTATGTGTTTGAGGTAAATATCGACGATGTCCCATGAAACAAATTTTGCTTTTCAATCTCATTGAACTCGAATCATCGTTGCAAACTGGACATGCCTTATATCTTTTCGTCCTCCAACCAGACAAATCACCATAAGCTGGAAAATCATTAATCGTCCACAACAGAGCCGCATGAAGTTGGAAGAAAGATCCATTAAAACTATCATAGGTGCGAATACCATTCACCCACAACTCATTCAACTCATCTATCAAGGGTTGTAAATAAACATCAATTTCTGTACCAGGAGACCTTGGCCCAGGGATGAGTAGAGATAGAAAAATAGATGATTCTTTCATGCACTTCCAAGGAGGCAAATTATATGGAATGAGCATAACTGACCACATACTGTATGATAAACTCATATTTCCGAAAGGGTTAAAACCATCTGAAGAAAGCGTCAATCTCACATTACGAGCATCTGCAGCAAAAAGAGGGTACTTTCTATCAAAGTGTTTCTAACCCTCAGCATCAGCAGGATGTCGAAGTATTCCTTCAGTTTCACACCTTTTATCTTTATGCCACCTCATATCTTCAGCAGTATGTTTTGAAATATATAATCTCTGCAGCCTTCCCTTCAATGGAAAATATCTCAGGATCTTGTGGGGAATTTTTTTTCCTTTTGATTTATTCATTTTGTACCTCGACTCTCCACATTGAGGACAATCGTCAAGAGATGCATATTCTTTCCAAAATAAAACACAATCATACTTACACACGTGAATTGATTCGTATCCCATCCCTAGATCACGTAATTTTTTCTTAGCCTAATAATTTGATTTTGGAAGCTTTACACCATTTGGAAATGCATCGTTCAATAATTGGAGTAACATATCAAATGATTTATCAACTCCAATGATTAAGAACTTTAGTATGCATAAGCTTCACTAAAAAATTAAACGATGTATACTTCGAGCATCCTGGATACAACTCTTCACTAACATCGCGAAACATTTCAGAAAATATATTATTAGTCTCCTGCTGTTCACTGGAATCTCCGGGAATGTCTTCAAACA